GAGTGCAGACTGGTGCAACCACTATGGAAATCAATATGGAGATACCTCAAAGAACTGGGATTAGAGGTTCCTTTTGACCCAGGCATCCCTCTATTGGGTATCTTTCCAAAAGAATTAAAAGAATCATAACACAGTGATATAGGTGCACCCATGTTTATAGCGGCACAGTTTGTAATAGCTACAACTTGGAAACAGCCCATCTGCCCATCAGTTGGAAACTGGATAAAGAAGATGTGATTTTTCTATAAAATGGAATACTACTTAGCCATAAAGAATGAGAAAGTAGATTCATTCCTAGGTAAATGGGTACATGTTGAGGATATATTCGTAAGTGAAATAACTAAGTCACCCATATGCAAATACTGAATAGTTTCTCTGGTGTGAAAAACTAAAATAGTACTCAAGATCCTAACAGGACAATTAGCAATGTGAAATAGGAAGAAAAGGACCAAAGGCGTAGGGACAGTGAGAAGGATAGGGAAAGGGGAATGAGGGAAAAGGAAAAAAATATGAGAAAATGTAAAAATGGAATTAAAGTGTTTGAAGGTGGGGAGGGGAGGAGGGGGTGAAGGGAGGGTGGGGACAAGGGGAAAAAATGAGAACCAAGACCTGGCATGTAAAGGTACAAGATCCCAGTAATGAATGTAACTGTACTGTCTACCTAGAATGTACCAATAAATTCAATTTTTAAAAATCAGTGTAGAAATTAAAGATATTTACTTTGAAGTAAAAACATTGCTTAGATGAGTTAAAATCTGGTACGATTCCCTCTGGGAGGCTAAAGATGAAGTGAGACCCTAGTTCAAAATAAAAAATTAAAAAAGACCTGGGGATATAGCTCAGTGCACAAGGTCTGGGTCAAATCTCCAGTATTGTGTGTGTGTGGGGGGGAAGACACTGTTACTGGAAACACTGTGATGTAAGTGAAGCCACCAAAAAACAACTTCTCTGACTCTTCTGTTTAAATTTTTTCTTTAATTATAATTATGTTGCAGTGTATTTGATGCTACAGCATAACTGCAAGTTGGTATTCCCTGGGTGATGGCGTGTGCATTCTATTTAAGATGAGGTACACGCTATGTGTTCATAACGCTGTCAGCCACTGGACTTTCTCATGAAAGTGGATCGCAACACTATCCAGTTATCAAAACTAAATGTGATTTTTAAAAATGCGATAAATGATCATAATAAGAATAATAGCTGCTGAAATAACATAATTTAGCAGCTCTCCCCACCTCCTGGTGCTGTTGTTAGGAGCAAATAAGGTTTAAAGGTAATGTATTTACAATCATGCCTGAGATATAGTAAGGAAATGCAAGTTTTTAAGTCTCATTAAAAACTCCACCTGTATTCCTCTGAATATTATTACAACCAAGCCTTTAGACAGGCCCCTATACACTCTATGGACATTAGAATAATGAATGTTCACGAGAGCCCTCTGAGATGTGATTCATTATTCCATCCGGTTAGTAAAGAGGGGTTTAGTCTGAACATTTTTAATAACTAGCCTGATGCCAAAGCCTAGTAAGTAATAATTTGTCCTTCATATTTTGTCTGGCGGGATGAATAAGTTCCCTGAGGCAATGAGGCAATGGGTAAAGGAGTTTGGATGGGAGAGATATTTGGAAAATTTCAGGAAATACGAGATTCTACCTATGGATCATGCTGCCTTGGGCGTTAGTGACATAGCCTGCCGTGAAAAAGAAAGAAGATTTCAAAACACTAATAGGAAGAAGAGGACAAGAAAAACATGTAGACACATACTGAGGACTAAATTCTAGCTATGGTAAACTTTTATTTATGCCTGAACATCGGGCCTTCAGTTTACGAAATAAATGCGAGTCATTCTTTTTTTTTTTAATTTCCCTAGACTGGGTGATTTTTCCCTAGGACCAAAACTGCTAATGAAAGGTATTCTTACTTCCCTCACTGTGAACAAAGATAAAGAAGGCTCATTAAACTGCCCATTTCTTTCAAAACCTACACATTTCTTTCCAAAGGAGTTATGTATTTTTTTTTTTGTAAAGACCCTGAGCCTTGATCCCAGTAACACCCCCCCACACTGAAAATGATTACGTTTATTTTTCAGAGGAACTTTGAGAACAGAATGAGATGACTTATTTATTGTTGCTAAACCTGAATAGTACCTAAGTACAGGAATTGGTAAGCTTTGTCTTGTTTCTCTGCTGTTTGTTTGTTTGTTTTTATGCTTCTGCTGGGTCAGTAGCAGCCACTAAATGACAAGATGCTAATCAGACCTTTTCTTTTTTTTTTTTTTCCCTCCAATTTTAAAGAAAACTAGCAAACCTCCTCTTACTTAGCACATAATGAGGCAGTTCATGCTGATTTTGGAAAAGGAATTAGCTCTGGAGAAAAAAATAACAAACTCAGTCCTGAGGTCTTTCCTATATCTTGAAAAGGCCAGTTTGGAAGGGAAATGCGGACAAACAAACAGAAGGAGCCAAGGTTTCTTTATCATACCTGCAGATGGATACACTCCTCTCGGCACAGCCATGCCCTGGCGCCAGCTCTGCCCTCGTTTGAATTTTTTTTTTCTTTTAAAATGGCACCCACCTCTCTATAAAATGATCTATTGGGATTTCAAAGCTGTGGCAATTGCATGTGGCACAGGATGTACGCAATTAATTATGCGATGCTTAAATGACAGGGTGTAGGAAAAATAAGGGAGAAGAAAATGTGTTTTTTTTTTAGAAAAAGCAAAAAAAAAAAAAAATCCAAAGTAAACTGAAAGGCTTGGTTGTCTGCCTGCCAAGAACCAGTAGCAGATAAGGCCTTTAGTTGCTGTGGAAACTTGGGCCTCCAGGAGCCAGAATCCAATTTCAGAAACCACAAAATCAACATAAACGTGTGCAAAAATAAAAAGGTTTGTTTGGCAAGTAATAAGGAGAAGGTAACCAATGTATAAAACACATGAACCAAGGTGACCTCAGCCAGTGGAAGCCATAATGACAAAGATATCCAAGGCAGATTTGGCACCTCTGAAATGAGCGGGAACAAGGCACAGTCCACGCTGCTTTCTGTTATCAGGTAATTGCTACCTTTTGGAAATATTAACCGGCCACCACCTCTTCCAGTGCCTCACCTCAGAAAACATAACACCACCCTTCCCACAGGTAATGTTAGAAACCTTGATTTTTAACTCAAGAGACCAGAAAACAGACAGGGAGACTTGTCACTTGTTCTTTAGATCGTGAATTACACGCTATGTCATCAAGAAAAGAAAAATAGAGAGTCTAAGAATATACAGCCTTCTTTATTCCTTCTGCGATTTCTGAAAAAAAAAACGAGTATATTCTAAGTTTTTTAAAAAAATTCACAGTTGAACTTTTAATGAGCATTAATGTTATTCTGATATTCTGAGCTCTTCATGTAATTTGCTTTTTTTTTTTTTTTGGTACCAGGGATCGAACTCTGGTTCTTGTGCCTGCGAGGCAGGCAGCGGAAGCGGAACCACTGAGCTAAATCCCCAGCCTGTAATTTCCTTTTGAACTAAAGAAAGAGCATCTAAAATAAAGGTTATTAATGGGTGCATGACTTTTAACTCACAGACTCAGAAATTATTTACATATGCAAAGCCATTTTTGTGTTTTCCTTCATTTGCTTTTAACTCGATTCATTAGCAAGCTGATCAATCATTTGCTTTGATATAGTCAACTTTGTATTTTATTTAGCATTAAACTTGGAGGAATTTAAATGTAAATTTCAGGAGACCTAGAAGTTTGGGATCATAGAGAAAACTAGCCAGTATCTGGTTCAGAGAAAGTGACCATAACACTTGTCCAGGAATAAAATTACTTAAAAATTATATTTCAGACAAGTAAATGTGTAAAATAAAGCAAAGCAAATACAAGGGAATATTACATAGGTATCAATTTTTTATAGAAAACCTCTTTTATTTCTCTGTCAATTTTAAATTTTTGCTTCTCAATTTGAGAATGAAATTTAAAACACATACCTCGCTTTTCTGATAATACCCCACACTGTCTAAGCATCACGTCACTTCCAGTGTTTCTTGGGCTGATACAACAAAGCCGTACCTCCTGCAGCTGATTCTGACAATGCAATGGAGGCAGAACTGAGAGCCACCACTTTCAAGACCACTGCAGGATGATCCTTCATACTCTCTAGCTGTCAGTTAAATACATATGACAAAATACGCCCTCACGTTCATAGTGGTGTGTTCTGATGGAGGAAGTCTTGATCTCTGATTTCTACCTAGAGAAGAGCTATCTTGGGGGACCACTTAATCAAAATCATCCCTGCTAGGTGTTGCACAGATGACAAATCATCTTTCACTAGGTTGAATCACTAGGATTTTTAGCACAGGGTACCACACTGCGTGCTCTGTCTGGAACAACAATCCGCAAGAAATATTGCCAACCTCTGTGAAGGAATCTTGCATCTTTGGAAGGAGAAAGCACTTACCGAGCACTCTGCCTATGCATCCACCTGAAGCACAGCCTAGTCATGTCTGATTGCTACATAACTTTCATTTTCACAAGCATGCCAAGACTATGCCTCCTTTTTAATATTGCCCAGTGATAGCATAGTACTAAAAACACACACTGACATTTGAAACGAAGAAAACATATTCACTGATCTATTTAGTAAGAAAGAGAAGGACAGATCCATAAATGTTCAGAAAAGATATTTTCTTGCTCCCTCTGTAACACATCCTTTAAAACTTCTTTGAAAGGACCGATGGGGAGTGTAAGTCAAACCCTTAGCCTATGCTTTAAAGAATAAGGGGAGAGACAAGTACAGCGATTTAAAAGAAAAAAAATTCCCTCCTGGACACTATAAATGGCAAAGAGAAAGCTAAGAGCCTTAAAGAATTCATCACTGAACTATGCTGTATTTGGAGATACAAGTATTTGTTACTATGAGCATGGCTTGTCCCATATAAAGTCCCACCGGAAGTAAAGAAAACAACACAAGATCTTATGATATGGAAAGTCAGAAGAAGTTGATGACATTACCTGCGTTTTCATAACCACTGAAGGCACTGCAGGAAGGGAAAGCTGCTATCAGGGACGTGTTTATTTGATTCCATGTTCAGGCACATCATGGCACATCGGTTTCTCTGTGGAAGTTGCAACTTCAGTTTGTTTTTATTTTTAATTCACTTACAACAAATACATGCTTGTTGGAAATATGAATGGTGTATTCAAATGGTAGAATTTTATATGAGCATTAAAAGTTTTTGAAGAAAATTTAATGACTAAAGACCACTTTCTATATATGCCAACTGCAAAAATTAAATCATACCATAAATATTTGAAAATACCTTGAAATGAAGATACAAAATATTAAGAGGCTAATTATACTCAGGATTATAAATGACTTTAATTTCTCCCGTATTATTTTCAATAACTTCAAATTCTATCTTCTAAAATTTGATATTGTATCATTCTAATGGGTTCATATTTGTATTTGTAAAAATAATTCTAATAATCTAATCTTCATTCAAGATATATTTAAGGCAATCTGTAATATGAATATATATTATATAGTTCATTTAAAAGAGATATGAATAGTCAATCAAATAGAATTCTATAGTTGTGCATTGTGTGTTAGGTAGTTTTTCAGTATTGTGCATATGTTTACTTATATAATCCTTATGACATCCAAGAAAGTAGGCGCCATATTATTTCCTTTCTTAGAAAAGGAAATTGAGGCAGAGAGGGTTTGAATCACTTGTCTAGGTTCTCTTAGCTAGTTAGTGCAGAAGATGGGGTTTGAACCCATGTGGTCTGATTCCACAGGCCAAACTTTTATGTGTTATACTGAAGAAGGGATTTAAGAAATAAAAATGGAATTTGCCCTTGGCTTGCACGTTCACAGAACAAATGGAATAACAGGTTGTATATGTTTATCTTTTTTTAATGGAAACTTTGATCTGGGTATATAGATATTTTTCTGGTTCTCCTTTTTAAGAGGAGTTATCATTGAAGTGAATGGGGGCAAGATTTTCAATTGTATTATTTGCCTATTCTTTTTTCTTTGGTAGCAGGGATTGAACTTGGATCCTTGCACTTGCAAGGCAGGTAGCAGAACCACTGAGCTAAATTCAACTGTATCATTACTGAATGTATAGAAGCAAAAGCCAATCTAGGAAAGGGAGCAATGAATCAATACCTGGACCCAGAAGACATGGGTTTGTAGAGACATTTTCATCTTTTCATGGGCAAAGATGAATAAAAACTTGTTTCCTTGTAACTGGTGGCGAGATCTGTGAACACGTGTAACACAGAAGGCTGTTTGTATCACTAAAAGCTCTAGAAGGCTCGCTACCACTGCCTTATACAAACAAGAGCTATTGTCATGGAGTCTTAGCCCTTTTCAAGTTCTTCTCTTTCTGATCAAAAATTCCTGCAAAGGTCAGAGTGGGACAGAGAGGCAGAGTTAAACCAAACCTCTTCAGCAAGATCATTTCTTCCAAAGGGGCCCCATTAATCTAATAATGTTGCACATTAAGTTGATTTGCACCCAGAAAATGAAAACCACACAGGGTGATTTACAGCCAATGGGGGATTCCCCAATGAACCCCAAACCCAGTCAATACTTCAGTCCCTTGCTACTTCTTTTATTTTACACAGAAAATTAAATTTTAGCTGTTGAGTTCTGTTTTTGTTGAGAATGTCCATTAAAATCTGGCTGTAATATTTATGAATATCAAAACAAGGCCGCCACCAGGGCACATATTAACTCAACGCAAGTCTCTGTTACAGATCTGCCAAGCAGTTCGTCAGACATTAGTAATACAAATAATAATTCACAGCCTCAAATCGAAAGAATAGATAAAACAGAAGAGAATGTAATATATCGCACTGAAACTCCTTTTATGTCCTTTAGAACAACTTTTCAAACTATTATTTGGATCGTGGTTAAAGGAGGGAATATAAGTTAAATATAAGTTAAATATGTTCATCACATTTTATAAATAAAACCTTCAGAAAGGTATTTTCAAGGAAAAGCTCAAATATTTAATAGTATGTTAACTTCTAACCTGTGAACATGTTAATTACAGAATCTTTCTTTACCACGAAATGCCTCTTTGTGTGTGTGACAAATGCTCCACTAATTTCCTAGTTCTTTTAAAGTACATATAAAAATACAAATCAACCTGAAATAGAAGTAGAAAGAGGAGGAATGATTTACTATTAGATTGTTAGTGACCAATACTGAGGAGAAATGCATAAGAATAAAACATGTTAAAAAAACAAACCACCTCAGTTTGAGCCCAGTCTGGGTAACTTAGCAACTTAGTAAGACTCTGTCTTTAAAAAAAAAAAACAAAAAACTCAAAAATAGTACTGTGAGCTAATGGAAAACAGCATTTGATTTGAAGAGAAAGTGAATTTTCTGCGTTATCTTCCAGTAATATATGCCTGTCTATAATTTACTCACTAGTCAAAGTGGAAACTGAAGACAATTCTTGATGCAAGAAAATACAGATATGGGTGCACAGACAAACTCACTAAAAAATCAGCTTTTAAAAAATTAAAATACTATGCACAGATACTCATGTTCAGCTTTGTCTGTGAGGTGATTGTTGCCCTTTGTCTTGGAAGAAACTTTGAAAAGTACAGTATTGGCAAGCTGATGGAATGCATGTCAGTTTTATATTGTAGCCTTTGGGCTGGGCTCCTCAGGTGAGTTTAATTGAGTAGTATTTTCTGTGTCATTAGACTGGTTTCATGGGGGTGTGTTGGTGCAATAGCACGCTGTTCTTCAAGGACTATGTGCATGCGTGTGTGTGTGTCCATGGGCACATATATGGTGGCTTTTATCCTGAGAATTACTGAGTTGAAAGTCTTTCTGCAGTGAAAAGGGTATGGTTTTCTTCTAGTCAGCTTTCAAAGGAGCTGCTCTGTCATCTGCGCCCAGAGTGTAGGTGTTCTGAGTCGACTCTGCAGGGCAGACCCGCCTGGATCCTTTTCTCACTCTGCCTCCAGCGTGGCAAAACGCCAACCACTCTCTTGGTAATCACATGCACTCCGGCAGCTTTTAGTTTTCTCTATCATTTACCTCCAAAGAGCTTTTGAAGTGTTCTTCTTCTGGCTTTCCTCACTTTGCAATTCTCCAGAATGTCTTTGCATGATAATAGGACTATAAAAGAATCAAAATCTTGGAACCAAAGTCATAAATGCAAACACATCAGAGAGCCAGACATGAGGGTATTTGTTTCCCAGAATCTTTTTCCCCACCAATGGTTATCCTTGCTTAAAGCAGAAGTACAAAACTTGATCACCACAGTAGAATGCAGCATTCAAGAATACGCTTATCCTTTGTTGGAAGAAGAGCTAGGAAAAAAGCATTACTGAGCTCAAGTAACTTGCGTTTGAAATGGACTGACTTTCACATTTTGTAAGTTCGTGGCAGGTCCTTGTATGTGAAAAGTGACAACCTTTTTCTTCAGCCTGAATAAGGCCAAAATTATTTCAAGGAGGAAAAAAAATCACTGGAAAAAAAAAAAAGATGTCAGTTCAGAAGAGATGGCAAAATTCTACCCAGGGTAATATATTACAATCCCTATTTTCAGAGAATAGTGTGACAAGGTCTATGACAATTTGAGGTCAGCAGCCTAACCCACATACAGGAACATGAACTCTATGCCCTGTGAGGTCTTTTATGGCCATGTGAGTCTGGGAACCGTTGTGCTTAGTTCTCTGCTATCACCTCACACACAGAACTAAATGTATTCGCTGGCTGGATTCCCTCTTTCTGTCAGTGGTGTCACCACTGCTCAGCTGTCCGGGCTTGAAGTTTTGGAATTAGTTTTTATTCTTTCGGCTTCCCACCCCTGAACCTTGTCACTTCCCAAATCCGTTCAATTGTTTTACATCTTTTCCCCATCCAAGAACATACTGCTGTCTTTTTGCAAGAACCTAATTCAAGTACTTATTATTTTATGCTTGCATGCGGTTCTTCACTAACGGGACACTTTCTCTATCCAACTGGTCCCATGTACCACCAGCAGATTAATCTTCTGCAAACATCACTCACAGTGTCTCTACTTTACATTCTTCTGTGGCCCAAGCTGCTGATATGGTCAGCCACAAAAGGGTCTCGGGGCTAAACGTTGTTGGGAATAACTGCCCTGCTGTAACTTCTTCAGGAGACTCTCAATGCTCTTTAGCATAGTAATGGTTTAAGGATTTTCCCCATGGGAAAATTGCGTCCTTTTATGGAACACCCCTATTTCTCACATTAGTTAAACATGGAAAGTGCAACCCCAATAACATCTCTCAAATTGATCATCTCAAAGTATATGCTTTGTTAAAAACCATTTCTTCATAGACCTGTTCTTGCTATCCAGTCTTACATGCTACTAGTACCCTGTGTACATGGACCGCTCCACGGAAAGACACAGCCCTTGTCAATGCATTTTCTCTGACTGCACTAATTCCCCTTAACTGCCACAGATTAAATTTCTTAAGATCATCTTATCCTTCAAGAACTAATTCAGTGTCACCTCTTTCATAAAAGACCATGTACAGTTCTGGCACCAAAAATCAGATTAGTCTCCCCTGAAATGTGCAGCAGAATAATTATAACATGTGTAGAGTGATCCTAAATCCATTCTATTCCATTTGGAGAAGGTGCATTGAACACTGGACTAGCCAGGCTCAGATGATAAGGAGATAAATTTTAGGATATCCTGCCATAAAATGTCTCTGAGGTATCTGTCATTCCGGGGCTGTTGTTATAATAGTAATATACAAAGTACTAGGAAGACCTTGTTTGTTCTACTTGGGAACTATTTGGGAGTTCAAATTAAGCTACAGAAGATAGGCAGCCTTGAATTTAATGAAAGAATTAACAAATTCTTGCCACTAGACAATTAATGATAGTTAAACAACATCCCTGTATCAAACTGAAAAGCTATATTCTCTGCTGGCTGTGCTTCATGAGACAGAGGACCCCCGGTCACTGCTATAAACCGACAGTTCCCCGACAACTTGAAAAATATTATTAAATAACTCCTCAGTTACTTATTCTTCATGCTGCATAAACCCCGGTCCTTTTATCTTTTCTCAAAGGTCTGATTTTCTCAGCCTTTAATCATCATTTCATTTCTCTGAACTCCCTCCAAAGACGCTATGCCCTGCTTGATTGTCGATTCTGTAACTGGTTACTCTGCTGGGTAAACAGCGCAGGCATGTAGTGGGCAGCCGTACCAAGGGGGAGGGTCTCATTTAGCCAGGCACCCAGCTCACAAATCCTCATTCAGACACTCCCAACCCTGTACAGCAAAACTTGGCTGTGGCTCAAAAGTGTTTTAATAGCCTGTTCATAGAGCATTACACGAAGGTGATGATTTTTTAAAAATTCTTCTGGGCATAATATTAAACTACAGAAAGTCCCAAATAAGTACACACACAAAGAACCAGATATTTAAGGGCTATTTATGATTTCCATTATTTATTTGTTTAAATAAATGTGATCTAGTAAAAATATTTAAGATATCTATGTGTGCTTATATACTGCAGTAAATGTACACTAAATATATAGTTATATAAAATGAAGTAAGGGATGTAATAGTTATTTTTCAAATGTTTGAAGCTGTTTTTTTTTTCCTTTTTCCATTTTTGCACCATGGTGTATTTTTTACTACTTACTACAGAAAGTAAAATGCATCCCTAATCATAGGTGGGCATCCTGTGTTAAACAGACTTTTATATTATAAATCCGTAGCATAATTAGCAAAGAAAAAAGGACATTTCACAATAAAGGAATAAGAATTAGCCTAACAGCAGTTTTCTTTTTTTTTGTTTTGTTTTTTTGTTTTTTTGTTTTTTTTGAGACAGGGTCTCACTATGTAGTTGAGACTGACATGGAACTCACTATGTAGCTCAGGCTGGTCTCGAACTCACAGCGATCCTCCTGCCTCAGCCTCCCAAGTGCTGGGATTACAGGCGTGAGCCACCACGCCCAGCCTAGCAGATTTCTTAAGAGCACTATAGAAGCAAGAAATCTTCAGAGTGTAGTGATAGAGAGAATCATCATCAGATAAGGACTGGTACTAAGCTAATCCATCTTTAAAGCAAGAATAAAGAAGGACCAGGGATGTAGCTCAATGGTACCATGCCTGCCTCACAAAGTCAAGGTCCTGAGTTTGATCTGTGGTACAGAGGGGAAAAGAAAATTATAAAACAAGAACAAACAAATACCATTTTCAGAGACAAAAACAAATTTCCACTAACAAGATTAAAATTTGCTTCAAGGAGAAGAAACATATTTCTAGGAGAAAACTTGAGATATAAAAACTTGAGTTTATAAAGGGGGAAGACATACTGTCACATCAAGTGATCTTAACAAACAGGGATAGATAGCATGTAAATTTGAGAGTATAAAGTTCTTGTGAGGCTATTATATTACTTTGTGAAAAGAGAGAATCTATCAAGATTAATCAAAGGTAATAATTATGAAAACATAGAACATAGACACAAATACAATAGATCTTTAAAGAGGATACAGTAAACACTCTTCTATTCATAAGTTTGAGAATTAAATAGATAATTCTGTACATGCTAGCACTTGAGATTATCCTTAATACCTCTAGTATAATACTTCTTAAAATACTTATGTTATTTTTACAAAAAATACAATGGAAACAAAATTACTAAGAGTTTTCCCCAAATTTAATGCACAATATGATTCTAATTTTACTTAAATCTTCTGGAGAATAAAGAGCCTATTCATTAGATGAGTTGTATAATAAAGCTGTATAATAACAGTAGTAATATAAGGGAAAAGTTCACTCATTTATGAACCTGGATGCAAAAATTTAAAGAAAACACCAGCAAACAGAATTCCAAATTACATAAAATGGATTCTGCTGTGATCAAAGTACACTGATTTCTGTAGTTCATCATTTTTTTCCCCTTGTAAAATCTATGGTGTACCTCACTCTGCAGAACACATTAAAGGTGCTTGGGACCCACGGAGAATGAGGCAGCTGCCCAGATGCTTGTGTCCACTAAGAATCTGAGCTGGAATGCATATGAAAAAAAAATAAAAACTAACAGTAGCCATCTCCTATCAGAAAGGTGTGAAAACTACCTGAAATAAAGGGTATAAGGGGCAGGGGCTAGCATTTGGAAAATGATACACTTATATCAGGGGGAAATGATGTTCTTTCTTTTTTATATTATTACAGATTGCAAACATACATGACAACAAGAAATGAAGATACTAAATAAAAATTTCAAATATACATATATATGACAGCAAAAAAAGGATATGAAATAAACAAAAATTTATGTAACACAGACTGATAGTCGAAATACATTATTAGTTTGATGATCTTCAAACATTATATGTTCTTTCTCATTTTCTTTTCACATAACATTTTTGAAATAATGTAATTACAAATAAAACAAAGTTACATATTATAGTTGAGAAACTGTCCTCAAAATTTTATGATTTATAAACTCCTTGGTTTTAATTGATAAATATCATATGCTTGTTGATTGTACCACTTACATTTTCTAACAAAACTTCCCACAGGGGAAAAAAAAACTTATATTTGAAATCCAAAAGCAACTAAAAGAATTCACACTTTTAAGGTCAGATTGTTTGGTTGGAAATTTGTTAAGACAAATTTTGTTATGTTATCAATATATCTTTGTACCTATTTTCTGATAACAAATGTTAATTTTAAGTAAATTTTATCATAACTATACTTAAATAAATGGATAATAAATCATTAATATCATTTAGTATCTGGTACATATTACAAATTCTCCAACTCCCTCAAAGATATTTGTTTTTTCTCAAATCAAACAAATCACAAACATTCCACACATCACTGCACTGTTTTATTATACCAAAGTATATATTGTATTGTAGAAAGTATGCATTGTGTACATGTGCGGGGAGTATGTTTTTACACATATGTGTGCACTATTAAATGAGAAATGTGGTCGTAAATGTGGTAGGATTTTGCACATTTAGCATATTGATAGTTTCTCTGGCAGGCTTATGATTTCTCTAAATTACATGCTTGATTTAATCCATAGTCATTTGTTTGGGAATAATATTACATATGTATTGGTGTTAAATTCTATCATTATGATTATAAAAAATACAATAAAAATAAGTATGATGTTCTTTTTAACTCTATTTTGTCCTATCCTCCCTTGTTTAGGCCATAGTTCATTCCAGTCAAGGATATGAAAAGAAAGACTATCAATGATGCCTTTAATTTAAAAAGTGTTCTCTTGATCTACTAGTTCATGGACAATTTAGATGCTCTTTGATTCTCCCTGGGGCGTCTCCAAGAGGGATGGAACAGAAAGGAAAAGTGGAAATCGGGAAAGTTCGCCAAGTGGCAGTGAACTTAAGGATGTTTAATTGTGATACCCAGTGCAATCCAGAGTCAAACAGAAGGTCTTTCAGATGGAGCTGTAGATTAAACCCGAATTGCTCCAGCTCACAGTAGTAGGGTCAGAATGA